GAGCCTGTCCCTGTGTGCCCGGGAAGGGGAAGAGGGTCAGGGGCGCGGCGTCCCCTGCAGCCACGCTGAGCCGCGGGGGGTGGGGGAGACCTCACTCTAGACCTTGTTTTTCAGGATCTTTTCTGGGCCAAGTACACAGGTGAGCTCTGGGACGGCTTTACTGGGGAAGGGAGGCCTGGGGACCCCAGTGAGAGAATGTTCTGGTGCACCCACTCGCCCCTCCCTCCCAGCCGTCTGTCCATCTCTCTGTCACCGGGTGTCACCTCACCCATGCTTTATGCCTCTAATCCCGAAGGGGGTTTCTGGGTCTTTTCCAGTTTGTGAGTCAGCGAGGAAACCTCGGGATAAGCACAGCGCGTGCCTGGAAGGTGAGCGCCGAGGGGCGGGCGCAGGAGATGGGAAGGCCTGGGAGAAGCGGCGAGTGGGGGTTCGGGGTTGTCCAGCCGTGGGGTCGGGGTCGCTAGCATCTCGTCCCCTTTCTGTCGCTGCGATCAAGAGTGTGGCTTGGCGCCGGGCTCTGTGAGGCGGTTCCCCCAGGAGCGAGCGCATGAGCGGGGGATGCATTCCCGTGTGAGGGCCTTCTCTGCCTGACCCGAGCCGCCACGGTGTCACGTTCATTCCCTAAAGCCGTCAGCGGCTCCCCAGTAGCAGAGTGAAACGCGGGCTTCGTGGCCTGGCAAAGGTCGCAGGTTCCGGCCTTCTCTGTCGCTGCACGGCCAGCCCAAAGCCCCAGCTCTCACAGAGGCACTTCCCCGCCGTTTCTCCCAGGGCCCTTGCTTACTCTGTCTCTCTCCCCTGGAGCAACCATCGCCACTCACTGAACACTTCCCGAAGAACTAGTTCAAATACCACCACCTTCTCTGAGCCTTCAGGCAGCCGCTCCCTCCTCCCACACGCAGCACCTCTGTGGCATGGTCACAGGCCCCGCTACACGGAAGCTTCCATCCCCGGCCATGCTTTCGTAGTGAGGAATGCTCAATGAACGCTTTTCTTTTTCTTTTTTTCTTTTCTGAGGTTTTTGCTATAGGGAACATGCGCTTGCCAGAAAGAGAGAGACAGAAAGCAAGAAATCACCCCCCAGGGGGGATGGCCACTCCGCAATCCCTTCTCCTCCATTCTCCTCTCCAGATCTTGGGCATGCACGCACACGCACCTGGTGTGAGTTTAAGCCACCGGGTCCGAGACTTGAACCCCGGTTGACTACATGGGAATCCAGCGACATAGTCATTATGCCAACTCAATGAACATTTTTCTTTCCTTCTTTCTTTCTTTCTTTTTGGAGAGGTTTTCACTATAGGGCGCGTGCTCTCGCCAGACAGAAAGAGAGACAGAGAGACAGAAAGCGAGAAATCACCCCCCAGGGGGGATGGTCACGCCGCAGTCCCTTCTCCTCCAGTCTCCTCTCTGGATCTTGGGCATACACGCACACGCACCCGGTGTAAGTTTTAAGCCACTGGGTCCAGGACGTGAACCACGATCGACTACGTGGGAGTCCAGTGACGTAGCCATTACACCAAAGAGAGCCAGAGACAGACAGAGAGACAGAAGGTGAGAAATCACTCCCCAAGGAGGATGACCATGCCACAATCTCTTCTCCATTCTCCTTGAGGGACCTTGGGCATGCTACACACATGCACATGGTGTGAGTTTTAAGTTGCCGGGTCCAGGACTCGCACCATGGTTGACTACATGGGAGTCCAGCAACACAACCATCATACCATCTGCTGGTCCCTATCATTATTATGTTTAAATTTGATCAGAGAGAGACAGAGAGAGAAGGAAAGTGAGAAGCAAGATGCCAGGTCCAGGATTCAAACCATGGTCAACCACGTAGGAGTCCAGTGCCCCAATTTTCATGCCACCTGCTGGCCCCAGTAATTAAAAAAAATATTTTACTTAATAATACATTTTTACTTAATAATAAAATTATTTAAATTATTTTCAATTTGCCATAGGACATGTGCACTCACGAGAGAGAGACAAAGAGAGAAAGAGAGAGAGGGAAAGTGAGGAAGCAAGCTGCCCAGGTCCAGGACTCAAACGCTGGCCACGTGAGCCTGGCACCCTCACCACCACACCACCACACCACCTGCTGGCCCCAGGTGCTGGGAATTTTAAGAGAATCAAATGCAGTCCTTGCCTTCAAGAAGCTACAAGCGACTAAGAAAACAAGAAGACAGATTTTCAAGTAATTGCTAGAAAAATTCTGTTCGAGATGCCAAGAAAACAACAGAGAGGAGCGTCTGATGTGTTAGCAGAATCCGGGACACCTTCTCAGAAGGAGGATTTGACCAGGCTGGTGGGATGCGCTGATGAGCAAACTAGAACATTCCAAGCAGAGAAATAGCATGTGCAAGGGCCCGGAGGCACAAGGACCGGAGAGAGCAGGGACAGGTAGACCAAGGCCACTTCAGTTTTTCATTAGCTAACCACGAGGAGCCACGGAATTGAAATTCCACGAGGGCAGGGACCTACCTTGACAGTGACGGTCTCAGTTCATCAATATGCCTTAGTTCCGGACACAGTGCTTGTCCCACGGTGGGCACTTAGTGAACAGTATTGGTGGCTTCTGCTAGGTGGATTGGAGAACTGTGGGTTGCTGAGTAAACTCAGGTTAAGGATGGTGGGCCCAAGAGGGCCTGGGCAGACAGCTTTGGCGGGAGAGTGGGGACGAGCCCTCAGGATCCGATGCTCACCCAGGCTGCGGTCTCTGCAGGTAACTGTGCCGAGGGTCTGGGTATGAACTACCGGGGGACGGTGAATGTCACCCGGTCGGGCATCGAGTGCCAGCTCTGGAAGAGTCGCTACCCACACAAGCCTGAGTGAGTGGCGGGCAGACCTGTCCCCTGCGGGTGAGCTGGGGGCCAGGGCACCGGGAACTCTGCCTGCAGCTGAGAAACTGCCCATTCCAGAATCAACTCCACCACCCACCCCGGGGCCGACCTGCAGGAGAACTTCTGTCGCAACCCGGATAGCAGCACCACGGGACCCTGGTGCTA